TTATTAAGTACTTAGAGATTTATTCTATTAATTAATTTATATTAATAAACTTTCTGTTATTAGTCAAAATTTTATTTTAAATTAATTTTACTTTATCATAATTAAATATAATTCTATTATTATTTTTTATTTTAATGTAGTTTAAAATATTTAAATTATTTCTAAATATTTTGAAATGTTTTGTGTTCTTCTAATAATTTTTAAATTTATTTTATCTTATTTGCCCTTCACATATTTAGATAATTCTTTTACTATATTTCAAAATATTTTCACTGCATAATAATTTTGAAAAATTATTTCGCAATATTTCAAAAGAATTTGCATAGTGCAATAATTTCAAAATTTATTTCACAATATTTCAAAATATTTTGCGTTTTACAAAAATTTTGAAATATTTTCATATTATTTCAAAATTTTTATGCTATGCAAATTCTTTCAAAATATTTCACATCTATAATTTTGCTAATGTAATTATAACATCTTGCCAGTTATATATAGAGCCAATTCTTGAGTATGAATGTAATATGATCTTTTTGATAAATAGTTAAAAATGCTAGATTATTAATTTTACCTTCAAAATAGAAATGTTTTAATTTTAGTTGATAATGCATTTTGTTATTATAATTCAAACAGTATTTTACTAATTTCTAATTTTAATAATAATAGTTATAAAGAAGAAACTGAATTAGCAAAAACATCTGTATTTAGAATTAGTAACATAAGATTATTTACTTTACAAAATAATCAGAGTTAAGCTTATAGTGGTTGAAGTTGTCCTTATACAATTCTTAATCTTATTGGCCTCTAGTTAACTAATATTAAGCTTCATTTTCTTTTACCTAACATTACTACATCTTTAATCAATGAATGCAGACATTATCAAGTGTTTTAAATCAAAATACAAACAAAAATATATTCAATATCTTCTTATTCAGTTTGAACAAGATAAAGATATACAAAAATAAGTTAAAAATATCAAGTGCTACAAATTAAAAACCTGAAACTGAATATATAAATATTATATATTCAGTTCTAGGTTTTTAATTTAAAGCACTCAATATAAGTATAATGTTGTATATCAAATTAATATTTAAGTTAGATTAAAATATAGTCATATTTTCTTAAATGCACTTACCTTGGGACTATAGTAAAAAAAAACAAAATGTGCATTTAGAAGAGGTGTACACTTAAAAAGATTAAAATTTATAGTTATTATATTATTTGGAACCAAGAGAGAGTGTACACTTAAAGAGGTTTTTTATATACTATACACTTAGGATGTGTGCACTTAGGGGGTGCAACTGTAATTATAATTTCACTAATAGTAATTTTATCATATCACTACTTGCTAATATCTACCCTTACTTTAACATAAGCTTCTATTCTAATCTTAATAAAACTACAATATTTAAATTTTGATCTGACATAAATTTTAATAATACACAATATTATTAAGATATATTTACTATTTAATTAAAATAAAATTTTAAAAAAAAACTTATTATTAGAGATGCAATTTACTATATTGCAAAGTCTTAGAATAAAGTTAGTGAAACAACAATAATGAATTGTTGAAAAAAACTAAAATCTTGCTTTCTATTAATTATAAAGAAATACAACATGTAACAAGCTTTTATGATATTTTTATCAAACAAGAAAATAATAATATTGAGTTGTCAGTTGCTGATTTGAACTCATCAGTTCTGCTTTAGATCAACAAGTATCTTGAACTTAATAACTTGTATATTCCTATAGTAAAAGAATTAAGTAATACTGAAATTATTAAGTTTAGTAATAACAGAACAGCAGCATAAAAAACATAATTCAGATAATTCAGATAAAGAGTCTTTAATAATTTTAGTTTCAAAAGAATTAGTAGGTCTAAAAAAATTTTTAAATTTTTTAAACAACAAACAGATCAAAATTTTAAATCAAAAGATTTAGATGTTTTTCAAAAATATTTATCTATAATGAGGTATAAGGATGTAAAATTAAAAAAGCAAAGTTCTATTATGAATTTTTTTATATTTAAAGAAACAAGCTGAAAAGATAGTATTAAAAAAATTCAGAACAATCACTTTTTGAATTTTTTTTAGTACATTTCTTAATTTTTAATAATTTTTTTCATTTATAGTACATGTAATTCTTTATGTCTATTTTTGATAAGTTCTATCATAATTGTTTACTTATTTATTTTGCTTAAATAGTTTTTTTTATTACTATATCTATTTTTTATTCAACTATGCTATTAATTTTTAGTAAGTAACTATACATTTACAACATCTAATTCGATTTATAATTATTTATTAAAATGCATAAGCAATATTATACTAGTTAAAAATAGTTTGTCTATGTAATATACTTTTAGTAAGTTCAAATAATAATTCATATTTCTAACTTGGTTTGTATTGTACATACTGTATATATTCTTATTTTTTATTTATAAAGTATTAGTTTAGTGTGCAAATAGTTTTTTATATTATTCATACTCAGTAAGTTTATCAACTTACTTATATTATATTATCTAATTCTATTTTTATTTATTTTATTTATTTATTATTTATTTAATTATACTGTATTTTTTTTTTTTGTATGTTAGTTCTTCATATCTGTTCACTTTAGTAAGTTTACCCAATTCAATATTTATTATTTAATTAATTATTGATTTGTTTAAATGCCAAGTAATCCTAATTATTTTTAATATTAGTTCAATACTTTAGTGGTTCCTTTGACTATTAATTTTTCAGTATTTATACTTATTGTTGACTTAGACTTTAATGGCTACTAAATAAAATATGTATTTAATTAAAATAATTTTTGAATACACAAAATATACTGTATATGTTACTTATTTTCAGTAAGTTAAAATTTAATTTGCATTTTTATATTTTAAATGCTTATACAATTCTTTTTACTTACTTATGCTTTCACAAGTTTTACAATAATTAATTCAGATTGCAAGTGGTTTTTTATACTATTCATCTTTGGTAATTTAATTAATTTTTCTTATTTTACAGTATTCATATTTCTATATTTATTTAATGTTAATGGCTTATTATTTCTGTTATTGTAATAAGTTAATTCAATTTATATTTATTGTATATTCTTATAAAAACAAGATTTCTAATACTGGTATAAATAGCTTTTTATTCATTTTTTCATTCACTTTACAAATTTAATCAATTCAGAGTTCAAATAATAATTTCTATTATTTAATTTTGGTTAATTGAGTATAATGACTTTTTTATATATAATGATTCTTACTTATTTTTCTTTATATATTTTTATTTAGAAATAAGTTTAACAAACTTTTATTAAATTATTTAAATATGTTCTCATTTATTAATTAATTTAATTTAGTACAGTATTAGGCAAAAATTATTCGAATATTTTTGTTAATATTGATGGTTTTAAATTTTAAGTAAGTTTAATAAATATTTTGATTTGCTGCTGTAATTAAGTTCAATAATTATCTTTACAAATAAAAAATGTCTAAAATTGTATATGATTATATATAATTTGCAGTTTGGAATTAAAAAAAGTTTGTTATATAATTGCTACATTTTAGATTATAATACTTTTATATCAGTTATAAATTTAAAATTTTGGATCCATTATTTTTAAAGTTCTTATATTCAGAGCTTACTACAATTAAGTTAAAGTTTGAATTTATTTAAGTTTGGAGTTTGTTAAGATTGGTTAAAGTATCACTTATTGTATTTTTTTTTTACATTTGAGTAAAAACCTGCTAAGCGAATATTAAAATTTATTACTGTAACAGATTTATTACATCGTTTTAATGTAATAAGTTCACTACAGTGATAAGTTTAATATTCACTTACAGGGTTTTTTTACTTTTTAGTTGAGTAAGAAAAACGACGCTGATTGGATAAATGTCATGTGATAGTGCGGATGAACCCCATATACAATCACACCCCTCTATAATCACCATATTTGTGTGCACCCATTTGTGTAATTATAGAGGGGGATGACTGTAGTCTACCTGACCCCTGCTTCTTAGTGTGTTTTTTGAGATATAGCCCCTAGGTGATGATCACCATAGGTTATAGTTAGTAATATTCATGTAAAAAATATCAATTTAAAAAAGATTATCATACATAGTGCAACCAATCAAAATGCCAAAAAAGGTGGGTGAAAACTAGTAAATGTGTTGATCACAAAGGTTATAATCGATACAGAAATGATTTTTCGAAATATTCTTTCAAAAAATTTTCCAAACCGACTCCTTTATAGCTCTTTACAACCGACCATACGTCCTCATGAAACAACCGAACAAAAGCGAGCTAGACTGCTTTACCAGTCTAGGAAAAGAGGAATCTTGGAAACTGATTTATTACTTTCGACATTTGCTAAAAAGTTTCTTAATGAATTTACCGAAACAGAATTAAAAGAATATGATGAATTATTAAATATGCCTGATTGGGATATTTATTATTTTGTAACTGATAAAAAACCTATTCCTGAACGTTGGATAAAGAGTCTGTTGTTTCAAAAATTAAAAGAGCATGTAAATAATAAGGGAAAATTAATTTTGAGGATGCCAGATTTATAATTTTGATATTGGTAGTGATAGAACGGACACTTTATGTCAATTTATCAAACAAATAAATATTCATTTTTTAATGGTGTTTTTTAAGCATTCAAATTTTATTTATAACGATGACGATGAACGTGAAGTCCAAATCTATTTCTAAATTGTCAGCATCACAGGTTATCCCACGAGAAGTTAAATGGAATTATAAATATGATTCTCGCCTTTGCTGCATTTTGTAAATTATAAGCGGAATTTTTTCTTACTTGCTTTATGCAAGATTCTTCGCCAAATGAAAGCTCAAGGGGCAATTGAGACAAATAACCCCCAATGTGCATCAGCTTTGGATTATTTACGATCTTTGCAACTGGATCTAAATCGTTCAAATACCTATATATGTGGATGATTTACCGCAGACGGTATGCCGAAGTTTTTTTAATATTTTCACCATTGTGTTTCAAAATGCATATGCCTAAAAATTTTTTTTTTGATTGTCGATAATTATTTTAGACTGCCAATATTATTATAGACTATCTATATTATTATATTTAGAAAGGTATTAACGATAGCAATATCATGAAGGTGTGATCTTAAAAAAATGTGGGTTCTTAAACCCATTATCCAGAGTTTGTTATATAGAGAGGTTCGTTATATATAGAACCAACTGTATGCGTGTAAAAATAGGTTATTAGATTAACAAGCTCGTTAAAAGGTTTTATTAAATAAATATATAAATTCGTTAATTTCTTTTTTTTTTAAAAAAAACTAAAGTTCATTAACGTTAAATAATCTGGTTTACCGTATTAACTGTCCTAGCGTTACCAACTTAGAAAATTTCTCTGCTAGATTAGGGTTAGGTTTTGTTATTAATTAGTAAGGAAGAGTTTCGCCAAGTTGATTCTTCGGTTAACATCACCCCCCTTAGCTGAGGCGCCCAAGAAACTAACAACCAATCAAAACGCTGGATAATTCTCACAAATCTCTTGATTTACATCGACCAATCAAATTGTCTCATATTTGTTCTTTCTAGATGTTCGTTCCCCTCTTCCAAGAGTTCGATGTAAACAGAAAATTTAACTGCAAGCGGCCTTATTACCAAAATTTCGCAAGGAAAACTTTTTGTTAATGTGCAGGTAGTTTCGTAGGTAAAATGCTATGATTTTTGCGTGTCTTCTGTTGAAATCTGTTTGGCAGTGAAATTTTTTAGGTCGGTGTGCAAGGTAACTAAAAAATTAAATCACATTATGCGACAATTTACTAATAATATAATTATCGCATAGTGTGATTTAACTTTTTACGTAATAAATACCGTAACAGCGCGGACCATAGCAGATAGTACCCTCCCATATCCAAGTACCTCCCTCAAAAAAATTATATGGTGTAATGTATAGAGAACACCTACGCTACACGTATCAATTTCCATGTATAATACCTGGGTCCTAACTTGGATTTTGTCCATGGAATGTATCGTATCCGGGGTACTATGGTCCGCGCTGTATGGTAATTATCTTGCCCATCTCTATTAGTAACGGTAACACTAGGACAGTTTACTGAATTAACCTGGTTAGGTTAGATTTTTTCACGTTATACAAGGTATTGGAATATGATTGGCCAGCGAAATTAATTAGGGTGCCCTATTGTTTCAGCCGGCATTAAGATAATTTCGGCTCATGATAAACATAATTCTGCCTGTCACCAGTGATGTAAATTGGGTTCGCGCAGTAAGCGCAGCGTACATAGATTTAAATTTGCGCGTATATCAGCGCTCTCCGTATATATAGCGCGCGTATAAAATTATTTTTTTGTTCACATTTTTTTGCGTTTGCGCGAATAAAAATTTTTTGAATTTATAACACTGCCTGTCACTACGATAGACCGAAATAAATGGTACACGAACTATTTATTTGATTGGTCAATAGTCACGTATGGATCTACATAAATTAGCCAATCACAACCCGCGATTTTCCGTAAAAATACGAGTTTCTGCTATGCTTGTTCTAATCATTATTAAATTTTTGTCATAACATTTTTGGAATGGCGAAAATATTTTACTCACTAAAATAATTTTTACAATCTGAATTATTTTTGACATTCTAAATTATTTACGATTTAGACTATCTAAAATAATTTAGCCATTTAAATTTACGCCAAGAGCAGAATAATTTAGACACCAATGTATACGAATACCAAAACACCACGAACTGAAGAACAAATTCGAAGGCTGAAATGTCAGAAATATGCATTTGCGCTTCTGGCTAACGATTTACCTATACCGAATCACGTATTTATAGGAATGATGTCTTCTGCACAAGTAGAAAAATTTTTGACAGCGCAGTCTCTGAAACCTTCGTTGAAGTTTCCCATGAAAATATCAGAGGATGATTCGCAACAACCCGTTTGTATACCTTATATTCCCACACCAGAACAGGTTACTGAAATGCAAAAGTCTACTTTTGACCATGATCAAGAAATACGTAATAGAATTAATAAACGAATAGAAGATCTTGAAAAGTTACCTTCAAACTTGGCTAATGATCCTTTTAAAGTCGGTCATGTTGATGATTCAAATAATACCACTGTTGGCCCTAAATTAAAGGCATTAATCGAACTTAAATCGTTGAAACTATGGGAAAAACAACAAAAGGCATGTTATCTTTTTTTTATTTTTTTTATTTATTAGATTGTAATATATGATCACCTACGATTGAACACGTAAAATTGTGTGTGAAGTGCGACTATGATTTTCAAAATGAACGACATTACGTATTACTTTTATTATATTAAATTCATGATTTTAGGACTCAACGTTGCTTGCGTGCTCCTAAAATCTCCATTATAATTCATAGTTACGACAAGAAGTATTGCAATACTCAAACTACCGAAAACCAGAACCTATCCGATCAATGGCTGCATATAGACGGAAGGTGGTGCTACCTGTGCGTGACTGGCCTACAACAGAAAGGGCTGAGAGGGAACGAGTTCAAGCACGTTTGCGTCGTGTGAGAGAATCTAGATTAGAGTATATCAATGCTATTTGTCTACATGGTCAAGAAATTAGATACGCGCAGGATGTAAAATATGAGAAACGCATTAAGATGGGACGTGCAATATTAAACTTTCATTCAAATATTCAAAAACAAGCGCAAAAAGAGAAAGAACGAGTTTCTAAAGAACGTATTAATGCGCTTAAGAACAATGATGAAGAGGCGTATTTGAAACTTATTGATCAAGAGAAAGATACTCGTATCACACATCTATTACGTCAAACTGATACATATTTGGAATCTTTGACGCAAGCTGTCGTTGATCAGCAAAATCATCATCGTCGTTTGAATAAAGGTAAAGGTAGATTACTAGATTCTACCGATCATACGGTAACATCTAGTAGTATCCCAGCTACTGAAGATGAGGATAATATAATTGAAACATTGGTAATATTTTATCACGCTTGTTATGTTATATTAAATTTGTTAAATTTCACAAATTTCTCGGTTAAATTGTTAAATGTCATATTAAATTATTTAATATTCAATATAGGATGGTAAAAAGATTGATTATTATGCTGTTGCGCATCGAATTCAAGAGAATGTTGAGCAGCCGAATATTCTCATTGGTGGCTTGTTAAAAGATTATCAGGTTCATATTGAATACTAATTTCTCTTTTTAAAAAAAGTTTTATTTCTATTTTGTTATAATTTCTGTTTATTTCATTGTAACTGTAGATAAAAGGTCTCCAATGGATGGTGTCGTTGTACAACAATCATTTGAACGGCATTTTGGCCGATGAAATGGGTCTGGGAAAAACTATTCAAACTATTTCGTTAATCACGTACCTCATTGAAAAGAAAAGACAGAATGGTCCATTTCTGATCATTGTTCCATTATCGTAAATACTCTTTTTTTTTTGTAAGAATGTTCGTTCTGAATTATAACTTCTTTTTCATATATTATATACGTATATATTTTTTATTCAGTACTATGACTAATTGGCAAATGGAATTCGAAAAATGGGCACCTATGGTCTCTGAAAGATTATGTATATATAAAGGCACACCGACTGAGAGAAAGTCCTTACAAAGAAAATATTTACGTTGCCTGGATTTTTATGTCTTTTTAACGACCTATGAATATATAATCAAAGATAAAACAGTCTTGAGCAAACCGCGGTGGCTTTATTGCATTATAGATGAAGGCCATCGTATGAAGAATGTCAATTCAAGACTTTCTTTAGTTTTAAGTAAAGAATATAATTTTAGATATCGACTTATTCTTACAGGAACTCCATTACAGGTAACATAATTAATAAGTTGTTATTTTTGTGTAGTCCATAATTTATTTACATTGCTTATTTTGCAGAACAACTTGCCTGAACTTTGGTCATTATTGAACTTTGTCTTGCCTAAAATATTCAATTCCGTTAACAGTTTTGAAGAATGGTTTAATACACCATTTGCGAATGCTGGTGGTCAAGACAAAATTGCCTTAAATGAAGAAGAATCTCTACTTGTTATTCGTCGACTACATAAGGTAGGCATATGATTTGTTAATTTTAAGGTAATTGTTTGACTAATAAAATTATCTATTATAGGTGTTAAGACCTTTTCTCCTTCGTCGTTTAAAAAAGGACGTTGAATCCGAATTGCCAGATAAAGTTGAACGTGTTATCAAAGTTAAATTATCAGCTTTGCAGATAAAGCTCTATCATCAAATGCAAAAGCATGGTGCTCTCTTTGTAAATAAAGGAGAAAAAGGGTTATTATAATTTACATACTTTTTTTTTTAATCATAATTTTATCGTTATGCATTTTTATGTATGTACATCCATTATTTATTTTTTACCCACAGAAAAACTGGCATTAAAGGGCTTAATAATACTATAATCCAGCTTCGTAAGATTTGCTGCCATCCTTTCGTATTCAAAGAAGTTGAAACTGATGTTAACACGACAAATGACGAAACAATGTTAACCAGAGTTTCGGGTAAATTTGAGTTCCTTGATCGAATTTTACCCAAACTTCTTCAGAGCAAGCATCGCGTGTTGATCTTTTTTCAGATGACCGCTATAATGGATATCATGGAAGATTATCTTCACTGGCGTCACTACAGGTTCCTTCGGTTGGATGGTAACATTAAGGTATTTATTTATCTAGTTATATAGGATATTTATAAGACTGTCAAAATCACAGAAATAGTAAATCATATTTCCCATAACTTGATTTTCTTAACAAAAATTAATATATTACGTGATAAACCTTACGGGTTGATAATTGGGATTATGATTGACAACTTCTTTTTAATCCATCTTAAATATAGGCTGAAGAACGAACAAGGCTTTTAAAAGATTTTAATGCACCTGATTCCCCGTATTTTATTTTTCTTCTCAGCACGCGTGCTGGAGGACTTGGATTGAATTTGCAATCTGCTGATACTGTAATTATTTTTGATTCAGATTGGTAAGTATTTAATATTTCCATTTAAATATTAGCTTTTATTACGTTTATCATTTAATTTTAATTTTAAAAAATTTAAAATAGGAACCCGCATCAAGATCTTCAAGCACAAGACAGAGCCCATCGCATTGGACAAACAAATGAAGTTCGAATTCTACGATTGATAAGTCAAAATTCTATCGAAGAGACCGTCCTTGCTAGAGCTCAATATAAACTTGACATTGATGGGAAAGTCATCCAAGCTGGAAAATTTGATCAAAAGAGTACTCCCCAAGAACGTGAAGCCTATTTGGTATATATTCCGGTTATTACGGCTGAATTGTTTTATGTATAATTGATATAAAATTTAATTTCGTAATTTCGTGTAGCGTTCTCTCGTGGAAGGGTCTAACGTTGAAGGAAATGATGTAGATGAACGTGCGGAATTGGATGATGATGAAATTAATGAAATTCTTGCGAGGAACGAAGATGAATTCGCATTGTTCAAACAAATCGATATACAAAGAGTTCGTGATGAAGAGGCTGAATGGCGTAAAAAAGGCAATCTCGGACCTGTACCTAATAGACTTATCCAGGAGAACGAATTGCCTGATGTATATTTGAGAGAGTATGAGACACTTCCTGATACTGGAGTTGAGTATGGCCGTGGACAAAGACAACGCAAGGAAGTAATTTATGACGATGGCTTAACAGAGGATCAATTTTTAAATGTGAATCTCTTAATATCTTTCTTTATTGTATATTAATTTTTTTTTTTGACTAGAGATTTTTCAATATTAATTTTTTGTCTAACTTTGTTTTAGGCTGTTGAAAACAATGAAGATCTTGAAGGCTTAATCGCTAAAAAGCAATTACGTCGACAAGCAAAAAAGAAGCGTAGAGATGCCATTAACACTGAAGAATCATCGCCTCACCCTAATGAGATTGATGAGATATTAGATACTACTATGCAGACACAACCTGCATCAGGAGTTATAAATAGGATAACACTTAAACGTACAGCAGGTGAAATTGATGCCGATGAGACGGAAGGAACGCAAGACGCAGATGCATCTGTTGATACGAACGCTACTCCAAGGGTTTCTCGGCGTAAATCTAGAAAATTATCACATTCTATTAAAGAACAATCTTATTCGGGCCAAAAAAGGGGTCGTAAGTCTGATATGATTGTAGATTCAGAAGAAGCCGCTGCTACTGTTGTCGAGGCACTTACAGAATTATCAGTGATTTCTAATCAGAAAAAAAAGGGCAGAAGACGCAAATTTGATAGTGTCGAAGGCGACAATGAATCGTCATCTTCAGTTAAAAAAAAGGGTAAAAGTCGTAAAACAGATAGCATTGAAGTTTTCATAGAACCATCAACTCTAGCTAAAAAGAAAGGAAAAGGACGTAAGATAGACGAAGTCATTGATGATGATTCACAAGATGCATTAAAGCTAGTAAGAGTTTTTTCATGTTTTAGATTTTTAAGTATGTATCATTATTCCTGTTATGTTAATATTCATATGTTTTCTCATAAAGAAACCCAAGAAATTTAGTAAAGAAGAGTCATCACTGAAGACTATTCTTGCAGAATGTCTCGACTATATTGAAACTTTGACCGATGAAACAAATGGGTACGTATATAAACTTAATATATTTAGTATTCCAATTTATTTAATATTTAATGTAAATTCATATAGAATGACGCGCAGAAGAGCCATTCTTTTTCTTGAACTTCCGAGTAGGAAGAAATACCCATATTATTATGAGCAAATTGAGCATCCTATTGCAATCAATATAATCCGCCAAAAAATAAGCCGTGATGAATACAAAGCGGCAGAGCAGTTTAAGAATGATGTATACTTAATGTTTGGTAATGCTAAGACTTTTAATATTGAAGGGTCCCAAGTTTATGCCGATGCAGAAATTATGCAGGTAAAAAAAAAAAAATTTTAATATTGTTGGCATGTATTTCTAATAGAGAATTAATCCTAAAAACAATTTTTGCAGGCCGCGTTTGATGAAAAATTTAGAGCATTATGTGATAATTTGTGATCATAGTCGATTAAAAATTTGTAAGCCTAAATTTGTCAATAATAAACTATAATACTGACTCGCTTGCTACTTTGTTTTGTTACATAAAAAGGAAAGTATGTCATCGTAATGTTTCTAAACAAATAAAAAAACCGCAGTGTAACATTTTGATGCCCAATAGAAGTAAATGTTCAGTTCGATTTCAAAAAGTTAAGATACACACTATGATAATTTTATCCAACTATTGATAACATTATTACCCACATGGATTTGGACATCTAATTTTAAAGGACTTCATATACAGATTGGCTTTAGTTAAATAAATTTTTAATATTTATTTTGAATTAAAAAGGGACCATTGTAAATGTCTGGGATTATTCGAAATCTAATGTACTATAATTGTTATTCAACATTAAAAAAACGTGTTGATCTATTGTATAACATTTTATCATAATTAAGAAAAAAAAACAAATAATGTACAAAAAAAAAATTTACCAGGAAAAAAAAAATACCGAAGTGGTTAAATTAAAAACCTATTTACTTGGTTGGAATAATTTACAAAATCTTTGAAGTTACTTAAGCTATTGGTTCTAATTACAATCATTATGTAATTATCTTACCTAATAACTCCAACAAATTAGTATTTTCATAGAACGCTATTAACAAGAATTAATAACGAGTATGTACATTAATAGTGTTGGAATTTACGTGAAATCCTCTTTCGTCCGGCATATTTTAATCAAAAATAAGCCGTCTGGAGGTTTCGGGTTTCTTTTTGAATATTTGAATAACAACGTATGTCATTATGCTCATATTCCCGCTGTAAATGACTCCCTCAAATCTTTAGGCAGTCCTGAGATTATAATATCCGCTTGAGCTTTTAGTTTTTCTCGCTGTTTAGGCGTTGGTACTGATAGTGATATATGATCGCACTCTCTAACCAACAATTGTGAATCTGATGATAAATCTTGCTTTGTTGATAATTTCTGTACATTTAAAATCCAATGAATTTATTTTAATGGGAAAATTTTATAACAAAAATTTAATGATATATATATTAAATAAAAATACCAATTCATCCTTGACTCTGACTAACAAATCTACCAATTCCATTTCATGCTTGCCAGCCATCCATGATTTTACATCACCTTCACAAAGTACTTGTAAATATCTTTTACGTAACTCATTCTGCGCTTCTATCGTACGTTGTCTAAGCCAAGTTGCAAAGTTACCACATTTTAAAAATTGTGCATAAAAGTTCAAATACGTTTCTGTTGTGTTGGACGGGAATTTTTTCGACTTAAATGGGATTTGTGGTCCTTGATGATGATAAGAATACAGTTAATAATCTAAAAAAAAACAAAAAAAAACAAAACAAAACAATACACTAATTATTTTTATTTACCATGTTCCTGCAAAGATTTTAAAAAACTATTCGTCTTAAATGGTTTGAGTTGTGGAGGTTCTTGTGAAGACGAAAGCGTACTAACAAGATAATGAAAGACGTAATTATGTTAAGGTTCATATTAAATCGATTGATGTCTTTAAAAGATCAATATATTATTCAACCCATCGATAAACATACATATGAAATGGAATCAGCGTAGAGAAATAACGATTCAGTGGTACCAAAAACTTTTCTGTAAGATCTACGAAATATCGTCTTAAAATATTATTTAATAGGTAGTCTACAATAATAATAGTAATAATGATAGAATTTAGTTGTTAATACTTATACACTATGCAATATTGACCATTTACAATTTACAATCAGACTTCCATAAATGCACCCATTATATAAATCTTTCTAAATAGATAATTTACAACTGCACGCTTTTTGTTTTTTTTTTGTTTTTTTTATCATGGTCCCAAGAAGTTCATTCAGGAAAGTTTGATGTATTTTATTTCTAATTTGGACGTACCTGGAGGATAACCACGAGCCACTGCTTCTGCTAACCGTTTTAATATTGCCTTATCTTTGGCTATGACGGATTTACGTTTACTTTTTATACCTTGAACAAAATCTAGTGAGGACGCATGTGATCCTCTCCATGAATTATAACCATCTGTGCCTTTTCTTTTATGTTCACGTAATAAAATGTTAAATGAATTGAATAATATCAAATCGAAAAAATATTTTAAAAACATTCGGTGAATACCTTATTTTTGGCTTCCCTACTCGTACCAAGTTTGGCCAATGAGCGAGTGCTTTAACAAAGAAAGGGTTTGTTACGCCAATTATTACATTAGAAGGTGGCTATAGATATGTAGAACGCAATTATTAAATTTGGAAAACGGTACCTAAAAAAAAAAAAAAAAAAAAGTTACAACACGTACTTTATTTTTTGTTACAAAAGATTTGAAATCCAAGTCTTGAATTGTGAAATATGGGCGATAATCACCACAATATGGTATCTAAAATATGAATTCAACCTAAGCAATTACATTATGAGAAGTAACAGTTCAATTAATTAAAACAAACTCTTACAGGATTTATGATATCCATCAATTCAAGTACAGCTTCACTACAAATTTTTGGATCTGGAGCCATTAAAACAATAGGTTCTGCAAATAACATCAACTCCCAACATAACCACAAATCTTTAATCATGTCTCTAAAATGAGTAAACATTGTTGTGGGGGGTAATGAAGCAAGTATTTGAAGATCTGGACGATAATTCGCCATGTCAAAAGGACAAGTTTCAAGAAGTTGTGGCTTATTTGGTTGTGGGATTTCAACTTGTATAACATTTCCAAGAAAGGGAAGATCAAATAATTTACTCGGAGATGGAGATTTCCTGAATATGAGCAAGTTAAAAGTTTTGTTATTTTTATTATTTAATAGTTCACACCTAGAAGTAAATAATAACAAACCAGCTAGCGATATCATGACATGCTGCTTCGAGCATTGGATTGCCTACTTCAAAATATGCAGGGCCAAGGATAGATACCACTCTAGAGAAAAGACCGACATAAGGATATTGAGATAAGAGTACCAAAGATCTCTGATATATGAAATACAAAATTTAATAATGAAGTATTATCATGTGTTAAACTGATGTTTAACATAATTTTAATAAATCTCGACGTGCAATTACCTGAAAGTATCCACGTTTTATTCGCGGATCTTTTTTCTGTCGGAAGAACACATAACCATACAAAAATCCAGCATCAGCTGTTGGACCTGATGGTTAAAATAAAATATATTGAATTCTTTTGATATAATTATATTATTTTCTTTATTAACAAGAATATAAATATAATAAATTTTTAAGAAATTATGCAACAAACTAATCATGATATGATGAATCATATTTACAAATAATCGTGCACATAAAATCAATAATATTTTATTAATGACTAGTCATAGTTCTTAAGCTATACAGTTATTTAAACAACAAATGAACCATAAATGTGGTGACGACAAGGGAAAACTTGACATCAGGCTTTCAATTATGATTCGTTCAGACTCTAGAACTTCGTCATTAAAAATCAGACCAATAATTTACTATTCGTTACGTATATGAACCATCTGCTAGGAAAATCACCGTTTGACACTCGCGATTTTCCTGGTAGATAATCCATATTAAGTACAGATCGAATTTTTCATGGATGAGTCCTTGAGTCCGAAATGAAATGTAATGTAATTGAAATCCCGATGACAGGTTTTTCCCTTAGCAGTATTCATAATAAAATGTCCAAGGATAAAATTTAAGTTACTAACCTGAAGCAGCCAATCCTGATTTAGAACATCTTATACGAAAATTGAAAACAGTATCACCAACATCAAACGAATTTGAATCTGGAAAAGCAGAAAAGCAAATGCTTTTCTTTTCTTCTTCATCTAATTCAGAAGAAGGATACATAGAATCCATTGCCTGACCTAATTCTAGATCAAAATTGACTACACAAAAACACACCATCCAATTTCTAAAATTATCCAAAGCTAGCAATTCAACGATATCCCAACTACTACGTCGACGAAGTTTCTTATCCCGCCTGCTATTTTGATTCTCATTATTATCATTCTGTAATACATTATTATTAGGTTTATTGCGTACTTCAGATAAGGGTTTAGCTGTTCCATTTAATTTTTTTGCATTAGATTCAGGTAAAATTTTTGATACTTCAGTAGTAAAAATTTCACATTCACTGAAAGGGTTTTTAGTGAGACTGGAAATTTGGTGGTTAACACCTAAAATGTCCGAGGTACTCTTTGCATGCGAGTATGATCTACTTTTTTTAAAATATTCACCAGCCTTTGTGACCTCCGATTTAAAGTTTGTGGTATTTGGAGGTGAAGTGTAAGAAGGAGAATAAGAAGAATAGCGCGGTGAAGCAAACAAATCTTTAGTCGTAGAATTTACTGGTGACGAAGACATATAATGTAAATTAAGGCTGCTACTTTTGGGTGGCGAGGAAGTTAAAGTAACTAGTTCGCCCTCCAACACAGGACTTCCAGTTATCGGAGACATTTTGGGTGGCGTCAAAGGTGTAGAAATGTTAGACGAAGTCCTTCGTGCTGGGATAACAATTGGTGAGGAAGATGAATGAACTTCAAAAGTAAAAGGAGTTTCCCTTGTCATCTTTTCTTTTTATATGTAAAAACCTGTCTGGCCTATCTATGGCTTATCTACTTTAATAAATTTAAATGTATAAAAATAACTTATATACAATATATTAACATTCGGTACACGAGAAAATTTCCTGAAATAGAGGTTACTATACTTCTATATATTTAAAAGAGAAACTAGAATTATCCGTACGTACTATTTATAATATAAAATATATTACTGCAATAACGGTGCACAAACCTACAAGGTCGGCACAAAGAAAAAAATCGAGATTTGCAAATCTTCAATCATTTTTATTTTTGTTACCATGAGATCATTTTTAATATATTATTTAAACAAATTAAATTTTGTATGATAAAAATCATGTGGCCTTGGCATTTACGACGTTCTTGGATCATATTTCCGAGTTAACGTAATTTTTTTTTATTTATTAGGTTACAAAAGAATTAATTATTATTGCTTTTATTTATAGATTATTCTTAAAATATCGATATATTTTTTAAGAAAAACAATCAGGATATGAATGACGATAAATGAACAATATACCAGATGAAGTTCGGACAATAGGCCTCTGGTACTACAACACGACCGACTTGTGAAACAATTTGAATCCTTGCACGAAACCGTTAATATAACCAGATAAAACTCGAAAAAAAATAAAATATACAGGCTTGGATTTAAAAAAACATGAAATACTTCACTATGAGCTGGCTTGAAAAAATGTAGTGTTTAACATTCGAGATTTCGATTTTTATCCATTTATTATTTGTAGAAGAGTTCATGTGTTGTTATTGAGTTTATATATAATGATAACAATAATGACTAAATTTTGACTAAATTGGGTGGCGATGTTTATTTACAAAAGGCACTCTATGTATGTACATATGTAGGTATGATGTAGGTATGTATGTAGGTACAAATACAATATCATAAGTTAAAAATAATGAATGTCTACAAGGGCTAGTAATGACTTTACCCCCTGTTTCAACTTTTATTAGATCATGAGGGTGTACAGCATCCCTTAAAATTTTATATATGTGCGTTCGTCAGCATAAAAATGCTGTAATAATCATGTTAAGGTTACTATAAAATATTTTGTTAATGTTATTCCAAATTACTGCTGTACCTTTTCTCTTTATGTAGCTGTTCACTCATAATTTAATATCATCCAACAGGAATTAATGCAATTTATGTAACTGGCTGAAAAATATGTTAAGAGTATGCTATTATCATTCAACAAAAGAGCTAAAGAACTTAAATAAGAATTAAGTATCTTTATGTTGTTGGTCTAGATTCCTATGCACTAGTATAATACTTTTTATTACCAATTATTGTTTTATATACTATCATATACTGTACTGACAAGCTGTTAACATAAATTTTGGCTCGGAATTTTTGAATTTTTTTATTTTTAAATTGTTTTATTTTTATAAATTTTTTTATTTGCAACACAGAACGAACCTAGTTTCAAAAAACAGTTAATCAATGTGTTTAATTTTGATTATTCCGAATCAGCCCAATATAGGACCTTGATATAAATGTCGTACGTCAGAATAGGATTGTTATAGATTTCGAACTCACTTAGGTTGAACTGGAATTCCAAATCAAATTGACAAACAACTCTTGATTTTAAATTCAATACTAATTAATGTGTAACCTATTGCAATAACGATAGTTAAATTACATCTTTATATATTATTGTCAAAATATCTAAATATAGATTTTTATTATTTATTTATTTTTATTCCCTTTTTCATTCTTTACAACTCAATATTATCATTTTTCATTTCGTAATTGCATTTAATGAATTGCTTTACGTAGCAGCAAATTGACTAATGAGCGATGTATATGCGTCTTGAGTCAATTTAGAATTATACGCGTCACTCTGGTTATATAGATATATAGATATACCAACATCCGGCTATAACTACTGTTTTTGAATCTATAACTTAATATGAAAATACTTCTGGTTAATCCGACATCTTTATTTTTTGGGGGTGTCGATATAGTCAGAGTGACATGTATTACAACTTATATTTATTCGGAATCAATCTAAGTGAATTATAATTCCATTCCGATGTAATCAAGTAAATTAAATTTGATAATTTGAATTTTACAAAAATATTATTCTTATTATTTTTGTATATTATTATTTCTATTATTATAGTTGTCTTAATGCTTTACTGTCTAAACATTTTGTTATTTAAATGTTTTACTATTTTAATGTCTTGACATTTAGTTGTTTTGATATTTTAAAAATCTCATTAGTAGAATGTAATAACTTAGTGAAGTAATTAAGTTGTCAATCTTCCAAGTGGTAGGTTGAGTTCAAAACTCACTGATGATAAAAATTTGGATAATTACTTATGTAATACATAGGTGGTATTATGGTAATAGTATTTTGTTAATCAGTTGGGATAAGATACTTGTAACTATGGTTATACCAGTATAACTGGCAAGTTATAAGCATCTGTGCAATGTTGGAGTTATACAAAAAAATGAAAATTGGCATTAGGTAATGTAAATCTAAGACAAGTTTTTGTGATTATGTAAATTTGTAGAATTGAAAAGTTAGAACCCATTTGGGAAAACTTGAACAGAAAGTAACATAAATTTTTAATATTATTGTTAGTAGTAAGTAATAGAATAAAATTTCTTAAATTTTCAAGATATTGATTAAATTCTTCTGATTCTTTAAAACTAAAACTTAGAGAAGTGTCAAAATAAAGATCAAAGTGTTTTGATATTCAAAAAATAAGATAAGAAGTTGAAAAAGATTAGTATATCTTCTAACTAGAGTTAAAACTATTGTTCTAAGATTATCAATATCTTGTTGATATTAATAATTAAAAATAATATCTCTAATACAAAGACAAAGTGTAATTCAATTTGGATATGAAATAGTAAGGATGATAAAGTTGTCTAAAATTTGAAAGAAATAATCTTGAATTATAAAGTTGATTTTGTATTAAGTTTAAAATCATTCAAAATATAAGCAAAGGTTAGTATATTAAAGATAGTAATACTAAAGACAAGATAAATTTGAATGTTTTGCTTAAAGTATATCTACTACAAAATAAAATCCAGTTAGATATGCTTGTTGATGGTTTTGAATATTCTTATTATGAAGTTCAGTAGTAGTATAAACTATAAAAAAAAAGATGTATATATATCTAGAATTCTGTTAGAATAACTAATATTTATCTAGATCTCTTATTAGAATAACTAATACTCATCTAAGTTTTTTATCAAGATAACTAATATTCATTCAGGTCTTTTGCTAAAATAATTAATATTTATTAGAGTCTCTTGCTAGAATAACTTTTTTAATAAGTCTAGAAATGTTTTGTTTAAAATAATCTGTTTTTCTTTAAAAGTTTAACTTTTCTGCCAGAAGGCATCAAATGTTATAAGTAAAAGCTTTCTTAATTTCATATTATAATGATGATATGATATAGAGAATTCTTTACTAATATATGTAATATTTAAGAGAAAAGTATAGGTTCTATTAAATATTGTCAAGAAACTATATTTTTCTTTGAGACAGTTTAGAAAAAATAATATAATACTAAGAACTTTATTTTATCTTACAAAAAGAAGATAAATCTTGTCTGTAGAAATTACTCTAAAAGAGAAGTATTAATACAGTTTATAATCAAAGCTATTTATTAAAGTAATAACAAAAAAAGGCTATCTTTAGATTTCTGTTACTAAAGAATTCTAAGATGTAGTTACAATATTAAAAAGAAAAAGAATGTCTATTGCTTAATTATATTTAAGAAATTTAGCAAGATCTATATATTTGTAAGCTAAGTAATTAAGTAACCAAGTGACTAAATGACTAAACAACTAAATAACTAAGTATTAAGTGACTAAGCAACTAAGTAACTAAGCGATTACTAAGTGACTAAAAGGTTTTAGCAACTAATAACTAATAATTACTAAATAACTAATTACTAAGCAACTAAATGACTAGATAACTAAGTGACTAAGTAACTAAGCAATTAGGTGACTAAGTGACAAGTAATTACTAAGCAACCAGAAAGTTCTAGCAACTACTAATAATAATAATACAATAATAAAAATAACTAATACTAAATAATAATATAAAATAATAATCATCATCATTAATATTAAAAAAAAATAAAATAAAATAATAATAATAATAATAAAATAATAATAATAATAATAATAAAACAATAATAATAATAAAATAATAATAATTTGTTCTATAACAATAGTATTCTAAGATCTTTTTCTTTTAATAATTCTTAGTAATCTAGTTAATATATGCTTCTTTATATATATTGTTATTTAATTTATTCTAGCTATATTTTTTAAGACTTTTATTGGTCTAGTAGTATCATTAAAAAGCTATATTACCTTTTTACTTAAAATTTCTAAATAAGTTTTTATACTTTAATTTCTTAGTGTTATGCATCTAATGGTCTTATTATAGATTTGTATTAAAGTTTTATGTAACATCAGTTATTATATTCTTCTATATATATATAATGTTATACTTTGCATATATGTTCTGAGTTTCTATTTAAAATGATATCTTTAATATTACAGATCATCTTTTTAATTCAACTAATTAACAAGACATAGTTACTATAATATAGATTAATTTTCAAAATTTATTGTAAATAAAATTTGAACTTTAGACCTGTTACTTGAAGGATAACAACCTAACTATTATATCAAGATTATTATTCTCTTAATAATATTTATTTATATAATTGTTATTAAACAATATATAGTTCAAAATACAAGACTTTATTAGAACAACTATATATAAAAAAATAGCAATAGTAGTTTATAGATATATATATTTATATATGATATATATTAATATAATTTTATATAATCTACTTTAATAGAGAGTATGATGACTTAGTGAAGTGAATAGATTGTCAACTTTTAAGTAGCAGATCTAAGATTTAATTTTTATAGACAATGAATTTGGAAATTATATTTGTTATAATAACTGTTTTTTGCTGATTGGTTGG